CAGCCCTGACCTGCTGGCAGTGCCCATCCTGATGTCCCCAGGACACTCTGCTGACCCAGGGACAGCTCGGTGTCCCCAGGTCCTTCCCCAGCAAGGCACCCCCAGCCTGGGCCTGGTCCCCTCAGGGTTCTGTCAGGGTGCAGGACAGAAAACCCCAGGGTGAGTTTAAGCAACTCCACCAGAGAAAAGCCTGTTCTGTGCATGTTTTCCATCAGAATTATTGAACTAATAAATGAGTTATTAAATGGAGGTGTCCAAGGAAGGCCTGGAGATGGCACTCAGAGCTCCGGGATGGGGACAAGGCACAGCTGAGATTCATCCTGGAGACCTTTCCCAACCTAAATGATCCTGGAATTCTGTGATAGCAACTTGAAAAAGCAGCAGTCACCTCCTGTGACTGAAGAGAGTCTGCCATTGCCAAGTCTACCTTCTAGTTTTTATACAATAACTTAATACTTATAACGGTTGCTATACAAATAACTACTTTTCTCTCTATGACAAAATAAAAAGAATCACACCAAAGTGACCCAAAAAAGGTATCACAGAAAGAAATTATAGAGAGTTTGTGCTTCTGAAACTGGACATGCACTGAGGTACTGAGGGACCACCCTAGAAAGCCAAACTCCCCTTCTCCTCCTGTGTGGGCAGGGGGAAAAACCATTAATTTTATTTTATTACAAGTACAAGCACTTTGTAAACATCGGGAAACTGTTTGAAAGTTTCCTAAACAAACCATCAGACATTTACAAAACATTTTTGTTTCTTCCTTTCATCTGGCAAACAAATGTGGCCATGAAATAAACCCCACCTCAAGGGGATCTTTAGGATCTCTCCCTCAGCACTGAGAGGCAGCAAGTCCTGACCCAGCTGTCATTGTTAAAGCAGCTTCAAATCCAAATATTTCCCTCAAATTCCAGAATTCTGACTGAGGGAAAGTGTTGGGATATGGGAACACTGGTGGGGATTGCTGGTGAAAGAAACCAGGAGGTGGCAGAAGAATATCAGGAATACCGGCAGGGCTCAGTCTCTGTCCTGGGCTGCAGGAGCAGAACAGGGATTTGATTTTTGAGGGAAAAGTCTCAGCGTGGAAGGATTCCATAGTTCAGATCAACTATTCCCACAAAAAATTGCTCTGATTTGGAAAGGGAGTTTGGATGACAAGTTTTGATGTTTCTTTTCAAATTTATAAGTCAAATTTGATTGCTTACTACAAAAATAAAGATCTAATTTCCACTCAAATAAACAGCCTGGTGAAAAAAAAATCTGAATGATCACCATCCAAAAATTGTAAATAATTCAAATTCTGCAAGCTGCTACAGCCAGTCCCTTCTTTAACAATTGTGCATTTTTACAGTCACACATTTCTGAGCACACTCCTGAACCTGTATGAACTTCTCAGAAGTCTGATTTTGCTCCCTGAGTTCATTAATTTTTGGGTTGAATTTTTTTCCTCACACTTTCATACGGTGAAATTTGTAATATTCACTTCTTTTTTTCAAGTGAGATTCTTTCTTCCTGATGATGGAAGAGCATGGAACAAAATCATTTTGTGTTTTATACAACAACACCGTCCGATCCTTTATTG